GTTTTCATTTGACTCCTATAGGATTACAATTGGCTAGGCTTGGCACAGAGGTTTTTATAGGGTATCAGTGTATTAGATCTTCAACCTCAAAGATAACTTTTCTCCTGATTTCCTCTTCTTCAGTGAAGGCATTATCATTTTAATCTTCATGATGCAAGCTCATATTCCAACTGCAGAGGTCTGCAGACTGCCACTGGACTGGACTGTCCAAATTCAATATTTTTAACACAATTTATGCAGCATATTCTGCATTCTGCATTCTTCTCTTTCAAATTTGGAAATAGCCAGATTAATCAAGTTCAGTCAAGTTGATGATTCAAAATACAAGCTTTACAGTATTCATAGTTTGTTTTTAACTGAGTGCAATGATGCACAAAACGAAGTGATGAAGTAATTTAGCATAACTGAATCACTGCGCCTACTCTGTGCAGGAGTCCTGTTGCATTTACAATAGATAGTTTAACACAAGGGAACCTAAAAACTGCTGTAACATCTCACAGCGGGTCACCAACTTAATTAAATGAAACAGTACAGACTACATAGACAAATAGTGATTCTAATTATGAATAATGGTTCTTTCTGCAGAGCTTTGGGGCTTTAGCAACATTAAAAGATTTAGAGAATATTGATAAAGGGCAAATAGAAGGATCAGTGAGTGGTCATGCTCATTGGTCCCTTATGCAGCTTTAATTTCACTAACAGTATAACTCGTTTAAGTCCATGCATTGAGCAAATTCTTTGCTAAAAGATAATTACGTAAAGTCTAAGCTTTAGTAGAGAACACCGGCATTAAAATCCAGTAGTAATATTACTTAAATGACTATTCAAATGGACCAAGTGTTAGATAAAACAAGTGCAGATTTGCAGTGTGTTAGGTCTTTAAAGAAGAGTGAGTGCTCACTGACAAACTGGGAGGCTTGTTCAACCAGCAAGATACCCACATGAGACAAAATCCTCTGCACTGGTCTCTGGTATGGAAGGAACCGGCTATTGTTCTCAAATAGATTACTGGTAATAAAGGAGCTTATATTTGGGAAGGGTATTATTATGATTCCTTAACATCTGCAGTGAAACATCATGGGCAGAAATATTTTCTTTTGAGGATTAAGGAACAGCACTATGTCTCAAAAATATTCTCTAACCTCTAAATAAATATGACATCCACAGTGTCTCTGCAATTACACATCAGATTTCAAAGGAAATTAGTTTCCGTAATTCTAAATTACCTTTCTTTTTGTATTCCAACCCTCAGAACTCACAAAGGGTAACTAAGTAATAACTAAAATCCAAGTTTCTGCATTCAATCCAATAGTTTATTAAGTGCCGTTACAGAAAAAAACTAAAATTTGGACTTATAAAATTGTCAAGGTATGAACTCCTCTTGGGAAATCTAATCATAATCTTGTTTTTCTCTGCTCAGAGTATGTGCCTCTTTATAACAGGCAACCTGCATTAAAGATAACTCGAGGAAGAGGGTAACAGGAAGCCGAAGGAGCTGTGCAAGGGTGTTTTAAGCGTACAGACTGTAATGCACTGTGCCAGCCACATGGGGAGTATATCAATGCAATGGCTTATTGTGTGACAAACTATATGAACTTTAATGTAGATGACAGAATTCCAACCAAAACATTGAGATGCTTTTACTATAATAAACCCTGGATCTGAGGGAACTTCTAAACAAAAAAGAAAGAGTCTTAAGGAAGGTAGAGGATTTCTCAGGAGTACACAGATTTAACTTAAGATCAAGATAAGGAAAACAGAGAAGGCATACAGGAAGAATATGGAAAGCAACCTCCAGCAGAACAATATCAGAAATGCATGGTCAGAGATGAAGAACATTAGAGGCTTCAATCAAAAGCAGGATCAGAAATTTCCAAGTTTAAAAAGAGCCAAATAATTATACTTATTCCCAAATAGGTTCAGTTCAGGAGCAAGCTCAGCATCCCTCTGTCATATATAAAGTCCAATGGACATTCCCCCCACATTTGAAATGTTGTATTTTCCTGAGAAGATGAAAAAATTGCCATGAACCATCCTACCGTTATGTGTTTCTTCATGGCCAAATCAGAAGATGGTTAAGCTCCCTCCCCTTTCAACCTTTCTGTTTTTAGAATTGACAGTTCAGGACCAGGCCTGCTTTCAGGCTTCTACAGCACCTCTTCAAACTTAACCTGAACCAGGACAGGATTCCTGTGATGCAGAAGACCTTCTGCCTTGATCAGACTCAGAGGAAAACTTAGCAAAAACCCTCAATTGACTGTAGACCTTTTGCCCTTGCATCACACATGATGAAGGTGTTAGAGTGACTCATGTTGAACCAGCTGAGCAAGCAAACAAATCAGCTATCAGGACCCCTGCAGTTTGCCTATTGCTGTGGAGTTAAAGTTGAAGATTGCATGATACTTCTGCTTTAATAAACCCTCTGTTATTTAGACAAGGCAGATAGCACAGTAAGAGTTACATTATTTAATTTTTCCAGTGCATTTACACCGTTCAGCATGATTTGCTTCACTACCTGACAAACAGACCATAATTTGTCATACTGAAAGTAAAGAAAACTAAACAGCTGGTTAGCTGCAAAGGAGCACCAAAGGGGATGGTATTCTCATCATTCATTTCTACTCTTTACACCTCTGACCTTCTTTACAAGACACTGTTATCTGTAGAAATACGGTACTTGAATGAATTGACTGACCGATCCTGAATGTCAACAAAACAAGGGAGATAATTGTAGATTTCAGATGAAAAAAGAAAAAGTTGAAAACTATTAACATCATTGGAGAAGAAATGAAGGTGGCGGAGGAGAAAGTACCTTAGATTTCCCAAAGAGAATAGATACAACTAGGACCTAACTAGGAAGCTGTCTACAAGAAAACAGAAACTCCATTAGCATTTAAACATGTGTAACGGCTAAAATTGAATAAACCAAAAGTTGGATGTTTTTTTAGTGAGTTAAGTCAAATCTTTGTGTAGAGAAAAATGCAATATATCTATCCATAGACTGTATTCATTGTTAGATTGCTGAATATCTCTGTTATAATGTGCAGACATATTTTATTTTTAACCTCTGTTAATTTTGTGTCACTGGCTTTTCTCAGAAGCTGCATTTTTAGTGACAGGTTTTAATAAAGGTGCAATTCAGCTTAGATTTAATGTATTCCTGGACTGTGTGTGCATGTGTGTGTTTTGGTGTGTGTGTTTGTGTGTGAGATATAGAATGTAACTGGGTTAATTCAAAGAGTAATGTGGGGTCTGTATTGCTGGAGGCATATGCCATGCATCCCACGTGCCTGACTTCCAAATGAATCAAGGCTTTTCCACAGTGTTGATGCCACTAGCGAAGAGCATAGTGCTTTTTCAAACACTAAATATTACATCAAATAAGCCTGGCTGTGTCTCTGCCTGGTGTCAGTAGAGAGAGTAGAATCAGTTTTTCAGTCTTGCAAAAACCTGTATTGCTGATTGTAAAAGTCTACACCCGGGTTTCTATATTTAGATACCGGTCTGGTTGGAAATATTTTGCACATACATTTTGATGCCATCAAAGTTGGCTTGCTTGCAGCTGATAAACATTTATATTCAGGTTCATGTCTCTGCAAACAACAAAAGAATATTGAGTGGTATCTAAATGTGTTACTTGTTTGCATAAGTACGGAATGATATATTGCATTGTGTGTGAGGTCTTATTGTCCTTGAAACACTGAGTATCAGCAAATACTTTGAAAACCTGTTGACAACTGCTTATTCTTAAACAGATTAGAATGATTTCTCTTCAATGCAATGTGTGCAATTTATATGATGAATCCAAGAGTGTATGGTTAAACTAATCTATGGTGACAGAAAAAAATGCATCTTGTGTATATTTCCTAAATAATAAACCTGGACCCCTGTTCCAGTCAGACTCAGTTAAGTTTTATTATTTATTCAGTAAATTTTGACTCAATTCAGTAGATTTTAAATATTTTTTTTATAGATTACCATCTTTAACAAATATCATCTCAAGCCAGTTTAAAACACACAATGATTTGTTTCCTATCCCGCAATTCAAAAACAATCAATAATACTTATTTAGCATAGAGTTAATTAAAATAAAAAACAACCAAACAAAAATAACTTTGACGTATTAACTTTACAGAAGTCTCTTACTTTCAACAAGCATAAAATGACAAGATAGTTCATTGCATGAAATGTTTTTAACTTATTAGCGTAACATTTTAATGAGTAACTTGAAAAAGGAAAGTAAAAAAAAATAAATATATAAAAGAGAGCATCTGTTAATATCACTGTTTATAGTAAATTGGGGATGATGAACTGAAGTTGGATGGGACACATGGGAAAATACCTGATCCCCTTATTGAGAAAATACCAAAGTTACACACTTTGTATAAGGTGTTTTTAATTGGACAAAACATAAAAGGACTGCATAAACTAAAGCATCATACATGTTTTTATTTAGATTTTGTAAGTCAGTAATAGTACTGAAATACCAAAAGGTTTGATTATTGGGACCCTATGACCTTTTGCTTCATGTTTATTTGATTTTGTGCAACACATAAACTGGGCCGAAAAGCACAACATTAATACCCAAGTGTTGCAATACCAGACAAATGTAATCAAGGAACAGTTGTTTTGCTTTGTTTGCTCTAGAAAGTCAGTGTCGTTTTGAGTAAGCATTCCTCGCTTTTAGGGCCAAAACATCCTAATCCTGAGCTTCTTTCTGTCACACTCTGCACATTATGCTGCATCAAGCTAGTGCTTCTGTTTTTGTGGATATGTCTAATAGGACTTAATCAGATCAGGTTCTCTGGAGGTACCATTTTGGTTACAGAGAGTCGTAATGGCCAAAGTAATGTTAAATTACTGTAAATTCTTGGTTTATATTTTGTAAAGCATTAGTTTGATTATCAGGATGATTAGGATTAAGTATTGTGGTTTGTTAGTTAATTTCAGTACCTAATGATAGCTACGTAATGTAATTTTTTTAAATCTTCTTTTAACAGATTGAGAAGATCATGACGTTGATTGGGGCTGGCATTGAAACAACCAAAAACAAACACCACACACCAAGCTCAGGTAAATATTTTCTTTTTTTAATGAGCAGGTTCTTTGTTTGCTCTAATGTGTAATTACCAAATTGTAATTACCTGTCTGTCAACTAAGAACTGAACCAATTTAGCTTAATTGTTTTCCATTGTGTCCATCATGACATAACATTCAACTGTACTGACTATAGCTCCTAAATACAGAAGTTTATATGTATCACCTTTAAGATATTTGCTGTGGTTGAAAGGATAACTGAAAATAACTCAAGAGGTCTTTGTTGTTTTTTTCTCCTTAAAATATCTAAATTTGCTGATAAACTGAATTTTATTTATCTTTGTAACAATCTTAGATATTGGTCTACAATCACTTATCATTAAGGTGTCCAGTTGTGACATCTTGATGCTCCTTGATAGCAGGAATTATTTTGTGCCCTCTGCCATCAAGGAGGTGAACAAGTAGTAAATGTCACTTGGTCTTTTAACTTCCCTTCCCTTGATGAAGTGAATCTGCTGCTGCTGCCGTGTTTGCAATTAACTTTTTTTTTTTGTAATTGTATGATTCTATTAATGTTTTTTTACATTGTTGCTAGCAAGCCAAAAACAAATTTCTGCCATCATTATGTATAGTAGGCAACAAAGTTTTTTTTTCTACTCTATTATAGAAAAGGTTACAGAGGTCTAAACTGGACAGTGGTTCGGTCAGTCAAAGGTGGCTTCATTTGACTAATAGGTAGGTTTCATCTGAAAATGCAAAAAATGCTTGAATGTCTGAAGGGTCCTCCGTTAGGATACTTATTGGAATCAGACAGCAAATAAAACAGTGTAATTTCTGCTACTGAAATGGGTGCACCTCTGAGAGTTGAATCATTATGAAAGACTGATCAACTCAGAAGTGGATTCTGAGTAACATAAAGGGTATGTCACTTTAGACAGCAAATTAGCATTGGATTAGGCCACCTTTTTCTTGAACATATTCAAACACATCTTTAGACATCAGAGACTGAAGAGATGTAGAAATAAAAACATACTTATAGATGAAAGGTTGAATTCAGGTTGTGTGTATATTCCTTTCTCTAATATACCTAAACATCATCAAACTAGAGGGAAATGTGAGCTTATTTTCCAGTATTTAAGTGGACATTTTAATAGCTAGATGGTAGGCCAATTGTTTTTCTGACTCTGGGAATTAAGCTGACTTTCATCTGAATGTTCATTGTTTCCATTTTTATCTCACAAGTTTTCCCTTTATGAAAAATACATCATTTTAAATTCTGCTCTGTCAGTTTCTTCCTAGTTGATTTATATTTTAATAGTTCTAAGTTTGATAGTGGGCTTCAGCGAGTGTCCTTCAGGCGGCACAGAGGGAGAGGCCAGCTGGCACCAGCTTGGTGTGTTTAGGTAACACAGTTAGCTACCTCCATTAGATACTTTCCTATAAGAAGGGTTCATCTTATTATGTAACAGCTTTTCTCAGTGCAGGACAGGTTTTTACACAGATTGGTTTGGATAAAAGTTTCATCAGTTATGCACTGTGTGATTCCTGGGTCACACTAATGCATGGGATGCCTCAAGACAGCAAGAAACAGCAACAGAAAATAGAGTCACTAAAAATAGGATAGCCAATACACAGAGAATCAGTGTGTTTTAGTGAATCCTAAATAAGGATTTTATCATCAGGTAGAGTTCTAAAGTTTTACCAAATTCCAATATCAATTTATATATTTTCTTATTCAAACCTTTTAATGAACACTAACTGTATTGTTTAGGGTCTCTGTCCTACTGTTGAACTGGTTTTAATCTAGATTTAGGTGTTAGATTTAATAACTTATTTGTCTCTTTACAACAGGTTGCTATATTAATAACTGAATTCACCACGTTTGTATGTGGTGGTTCTGTTGATTGCTGGTCTTTGTTGTTTGTTCAACAATTATGATGTTGGTTGTAATAATCAAAGGACTGGTTTTCCAAAGTGTTGTGGTTTATTCCAAAACAACCTTGCACTGCCATAGTTAAAACAATCTCTTTACTGCTTTCCCTTCCAATTTAGCCATATTTGACTCACCCAAAGGTTGAATTTGTTGTTGCAAAGACTCAGGAAAGATTTGCAAATGGCTTGAATGTCTTCACTTTATGAGAAAATGCGTCAACAATTTCAACTAGTGAATTATACGTTTAGAAAATGGCCTATTGAGATTAGTAGGCCACAATATTTCTCCACTAATAGATGCTGATGAAGATTCTCAGTCATCCATATCATAGTCATTCCGTAAAAGTTCAAAAAAAATCCACTGGACTTGGTTCTCAAGATTTGAAAACGTTTCGCTACCTCTCCAGAATTGAGAAAGCTTCCTGGAGAGTTGGCAAAACGTCTTCAAATCTTGAAAACCAAGTCCAGTGGATTTTTTTTAACTTTTACGGAATCCACTAATAGATGTTGTATTTGTAGGGGTCAGAGTGCTAAAGTCTATTTGTATGGTTAAGACCAGCAACCTTGCAAGAAAATTCGTCTTTGAGTTATTTGCAGTTGGTAATATATACATTTGCAAAGAAAATACAGGTACTATTGTTTTCTCTTAAATTTGTTCCAAATTGAAGGATGTTTTTCAATAACTGTTGTAATGTCCTCAAACTATGTTAAATATCTTAAGATTGTAAACAAATCAGTTTTTCGATTTTACAAAATCAATCTTTTAAGATCAAAATAATGGGATCCTGAGATGTTATTAAGAATGATTCTTAAGCAGGCACAACCCCAGACTTTGAAACAGTTTTTAATAGTCTATTGAAAATCCTGAGAGAGTAATAGGGTTAGCAAGGACTTGGATGGTGAGTCTCTGAAGGGAAAAAGGTGTGAATTAACAGATGAAGGTATGAAATGGTTTGTTGTTTAGGGAGAATGATGGCTTACAGTTACAGAAGGTGGGCAACATCCAAGAGGGACTGTGCTAGGTCTGCAGGGGAGTAGACATGATGAAAAGTGGTGGAAAGACGACAATGGTGATGTGTTGGAAGGTGGAAAGGCTGTAGATGGGATTGCTGAAACACAGATCTGATCTCATGAATGCAGTGTTGCAGAGCCAGAAACCCAGCTGGGTAGAGGCAGACCAAACCTTTCCAGAGGGCCGGCATGAGATGACAGTCCAGGATATTGAGGCTTATTGTAAGTGATGCAGTGATTGCTGGTGTTGAGCTGGATCCAGTCAGCCTGAGGAGGGAACACCCCACCACAAACACCAGCCTGCAGGCCTAAAAGGGTCTAACCATTGAAGCCACCCAGCGGAGGACCAGAGGAGGAAGACTTCTCAAAATCAGGATTAAGAGACGGGTCCAACAAAGAACAAAGGACCAAAGAGGCGCATTGACAATCCCGCGAGATAAACCCCAGGATGGCAGTAAAAGGGTGAAGAATGAGCCCACTGAGAGCGGACTGAGGATGGGACATAACTGCAATAGGGTCATCCATCCCCCCAGATCGGGTTGGGTAGTCAGGGTTTGCTGAATGGATCTTTCAAGCTCTCAGGTGAGGGACACAACAACACATGAGGGGGGGAAGGATAGTGAGGATGGAATATGTTGCAGGGACCTGAAGCCTTTAAAGAGCATCAGGTTTGGGATCCTTAAAACCTGGACGATATGTGATGGAAAGATAACGGGAGAAATACAGAGACCAACAATATTTACATGGGTTGAGACATTTACTCATTTGGATGTATGCCAATTTGTTGTGTTAAGTCCAAATGATTATTGGGAGCTGTGTACCTTCAAGGCAATGACTTCATTCTTCCAGGACAAGTTTTATGACTAGAAGCTCTTGATCACCCACGTCATCATTAACTTCAGTGAGAGTTCATATTTTTAGAAAGGAAGATTTTTGAGGTGAAGCTTGTTGTCAACTGAGGATCTTTGAGAAAGCGGCGCGCCAACACCAATATAGGAAAAATTTACTTCCAAGGTGAACTGGGCCGCAGGATCTTGATGAACAAGAACGGGAGAATCAAAAAACCTTTTCTTCGGCTCGTCAAAAGCCTGGTTTGCTTTGGGAGTCCAAAGGATAGTCGCTTTAGTTGAGGTAAGAGCAGTTAAAAGAGCGGCAATGTAACTGTACCCTCTGATGAATCACTAGAAAATGTTTGTGAAGCCTAGATACCGTTTGAGTTGTTTGCAGGAGTCAGGAAGGGGCCACTCTTGGTCTTCCTTGATCTTGGTCCATCTGCACCTGTCCACCCTCAAAAACATAACACAGAAAAGGAGGACACACAAAATCCACCTGTCTCTACTTTTACAAAAAGATGATTTTCTAATAGCCTCTGGAGGACCAATTGGACATGGGTCTGTTGGTCTTCCATGTAATCTTAAAAATAAGAATATCACCCAGGTAGAAGAACACAAAGATGGTTAGAAAGTTTCTGGAGACATCATAGGTCAAATGCAGTAAGACGGCAGGGGCATTACAGAGGCTAAAGGGCAGGTACCCAAAATGAACAATGGGTTTTGAAGGTGGTCTTCCACTAAACACCTGCTTGGATGCGGACCAAATGGTAAGCATTACAAAGTTCAAAGTAAAATTAGCTATTTCTAAAACTGGGATCTGTTCAATAAAGATTCAATGATTTAAACAATCAAACAAACGATTTTTATTTAAAATCTTGCACCATCAATAAGAGGTCTATACTTAAAGTACTGCTTATTATTTATGCTGTAGGAAAGAAATGATTAAATAACTAATTAAAATGTATCTATGGTCTAACATTTACAAATAATGCTGAATGTATCGATCCCTAAAATTGGTGTTTGAAGACAAATTTAGATTTTTTTGTCCCTTTAATTTGAGAAGAGTTTGCAGAGAAAGGTGTGCAGGAACCAAAGCTTTAAAGGCACACTATGCAACATTTTTCAGTTAATTAATGTGTTCCATAACATTTTGGATGATTAAATGAGTCATTTCAGGTTGAACAAAGGTATTCTGGGCCGACCCGCACCCACAGGCTCAGAAGTCTCGCGAGAGTCAGTCTTGCTTTACGGCGAGAACTG